TAGAAGCTGCTTATATAATTTGTTGACTGTGTAATTTCAAGTTATAATTTTTTTTTTTTTTTTTTAGACTGCGGAACTATAAACCGTTTTAAAAAAGTTTGCTGAAACACTGTTTGCCTAAATTGTTGATAATATTTGGCTATAAAATTTTTTTAACAAACAAAATATTTATGCAGTTCAGATAAGATTAAATTTTCTGTTTTTAAACAGTTAACATTTAGCAGTTTTGCTTTATAATTCGAAATATTTGATCATTAAATTGCCGATTCAGTGACACAAAATTATGATCATTAAAGATTTTGTAAGCTCAATTTTATTGACGGTAAACGAAGTAACATATTGAAATTGTTGCCTAAATTATATCAAGAAGAAACCCAACAGACATAAAACACATTTTTGAATTAGAAATTTATCAAAACTTTTCAAAGATTAAACACTTTCTACAGTAAGAAATGCATTTAAAAGAATGATCAAAAAGATGCTAATTCTTTTTACTGTCAATCAACAAATGTTTAGCCTATAAAAAAACGTTTTTCTTTTATAGAAAAAGTTTGATTAAATTAACTGTCTGTATTTCAGTTAAATATTAGAAAAAAATTTTATTTTAATAAAACAACTGCTTTTTTTTTTTTTGAAATAACTGCTTTTGCTCAGCTTTACAGAACAGTTATCAAACATTCAACAATAAAATAATTGATACAAAAGCGGTAATGTCGCTGTGAAATGAAGAAAATAGAAACATTTTGACAAACATTTGTAACATCTGAGAGTGAATTTTAAATTTTCTAAACTAAACTTAGTGTAAGATATAAATAATGGTTTTTGACGTTGTTCAGCAGTTTGTTTTTTTTTTTCTTGTTTGTTAGTCTTTTTTAGTTGTTTTTTTGTCAACTTTTCATCTTTCTTTTTGGTTTTCTTCAATTACTTCAAAACTAACAGTTAATGTGTAGTTTTTTGATTAGAATTTTGAAGATGGTAGTTTAGATTGTGGAACTTAGTTTAGTCACTTATCTTCTATATAGAGGTGGAAAAGGAAGCTTAAAGAGAAGGCGTAAAAATAACATTTTGCTAAAAAATGTTCATTTTGGAAACAATTGTTTTCCAAAAATTCCCTAACTCGTTTTTTAACCTCTAATAGTTGTTTCATGTTGCCTTTCCTAATTTTTCCTCCTTCTTATTCTGCATTTGACACTTTTATTTGTTGCTAAAAATAGCACAGAAATTGTTTTGGAAAAGTAGAGGTAAAATTTACAGTAGCAAATGCAATGACGGTATTTATATAAACATAGGAAATAATTTTCCGTGATTATTGCTGTATGCTCAGAATTAATTGTCAAAAAAAAAATGTTTCTTTTTTTTTTAATTTTTTATCTACTTTTTTTTTTGTTTTTACTTTAATTTTAACAGTCAGTCAATTCTTATTTGCCGCAAAATATGTGCTGTGTGATAAATTCTAGCAAGATGGGAAGAAAAAAAAAAGAATTTTGACAAGTTAGTATAGCAAAAAAAAAATTTGAAGGAAGAAGTACAGCAGAAGTTAATCAAATTGTTGCTTTTAAACGTTGAACTCT